TGGTTGACATGGATCCTACGTCATGCACAGGCATTTGCCCAAACAAGTTAATTACGTGTAAGATTTGCCCATCTTGGGCAAATGCTACCAGCATGGCATTCCACGCTGTCAGGTCTCGTCCAGGCATTTGATGAAAGATGCCTTGTGCTTGAGTGACGTGGCCAGCGCGACCGTATGACATCAGCATCACTGTCCGTGATACAATGTTGTGCTCCGGCATCCGATCAAAGAGATCTCTCGTTTCACTCAGAAGAAGAGGATCCTGGCGAAATGCCGCTACCATCGTCGTCCAGGTGACGAGATTCTTCTCCGGCATTGAATCAAACAAGCGCTTTGCCTCGAGGATTTGTGATTCCTGAGCGTAAGCTCGCAGCAACGTTGTCGAGGAAATTAGATTCGTCTCAGGCATCCAATCGAAAAAGGATTTGGCCTCTTGGAGATAGCCCTCCTGGACAAATGCCGCGAGCATCGCATTCATGGCGACAAGATTCCACTCTAGCATCGAGTCGAACAGACTCTTTGCTTGCTGGATCTTGCCATTGGAACCAAACCCACTAATCGCAACCGTCCATGACATCAGATTCCTCTCGGGCATAGCACCAAACAAAGCGTTCATGCCCTCCAGATCCCCAGTTCGGGCATATCCCGTTAGCATCACCGTCCAAGAGAAAAGATTCCTTCTCTTCATGGAATCAAATACCCTCTTTGTGTCATCGAAAGAGGAACAAGATGCCATGTTTGCCAGCAAGGAATTCCAGGATGCTAGGCTCTGATCTGGCATGGAATCAAAGACCTACATTTGACGAGACAAGATTCCCAGTGCCAGTATTATGTCCTTTCAAAAGCTGGTGGAAGATTTACTATGCTTTTTACCACAAAGTCACAATCTTGAGCCCAGCAAATCGTTTGTGGAAGTTGTTAGATTCCACAAGATGCCCTTGAAGGGTAGGTATCTTGCTCTTGATTGTCACTATCTAAATTTTTGTTTTGGGGTGGATTCATAAAAGATGGTGTGGGGTATCATCAGCACAACCCAAGATTTCACTTTCTAGTGAGTTGTGTAAAATAAATGCCACTTGAAAGATGAATGTGTATGTACATTCCTCAATGTCCTATAGAAACTAAAACAATATCAAAAACACACTCTTAAAGATACTAGTGAAATTATGAACAAGAATGCCCAATGCTGCCCATGAGCTATTTGTGAGACACAAAATCCCTAGGCCCCAAAGTGGAGCCGGAAGGGCGTCACATGGTAGTGGCCGAAGCAAAAGCCAAATGAGTGTAACACATTTGGATTAAAAGCTCCGATTTGAAAGGTTGAGAGCAGAAGTGGAACTCCCAAAAACGTGTTTGAGGAATGAGCACAAAGCGAGCAATAAGCGAGGCTCCAAAAAGGGACCCAAAAAAGACTAACACATGACACGTGGAAGTGTCCAACATGGACTCGAGTTGGAGTCCAAAATGGAGTCCGAAGTGGAGTCCGAGAAGGACCTGAGATGGAGTCTGAGGTGGAGTCCAAGGTGGACCCAAAAAGGACCCAAGACAGAGTCCGAGGTGGAGTCCGAGATGGACCCAAGATGGAGTCCGAGATGGAGTCTGAGATGGAGTCCGAGGTGGAGTTTGAGGTGGAGTCCGAGATGGACCCGAGATGGATCCAAGATTAAGTCCGAGACGGACCCAAGATGGAGTCCGAGATGGAGTCCGAGATGGACCCGAGATGGAATCCGAGATGGAGTCCAAGAAGGACCCGAGATGGACTCCGAGGTCAAGACCGAGACCGGGACCGAGACCGAGATCAAGACCGAGATCAGGACCGAGGCCGAGGCCGAGACCGAGTCCGAGTTCGAGTCCGAGTCCAAGTCCAAGTTCAAGTCCGAGTCCGAGTCCAAGTCCGAGTCCAAGTCCGAGTTCGAGTCTAAGAGGGTGAAAGCCTAAAGCGTTCGTCTCCCAAACCTTGGGGGGTTTGGTGAGCTCCAAAAGTATAGTAGGGGGAGGATTACAGTGGAGCCAATTTGGCCAGGAAAGGTTAATTTGGCCCAGGAAGGCCGGACCCAGTGTCAGGTGATGAGCTGCCCACTGGGAAGTCCAAGACTAGAGTGAACACAGACCGACAAGCGGGGTAGCTTGGTGAAGTGTTCAAGAGCCGGCTCTAATTCCCCCGGGAGATCGACTGGCCGATGCTCCCAGTCCAAGTGTGGGTGGCACTACCTACTTGGATACCCGGTGTGGCTCAACGAAACCTCGCTTTAAGCCCATGGCTAGAGCACCAAAAGGCAAGAGGTGGGGAGAGTACCCATGAGGCTTGTGTAAGGCCACAATGTTCCGAAATGTTGTCCCAAAGTCCTAAACGGTGAAAGGGAAGAGGAGCAGTCCTTTAGTGTAGTGACCAAGGATATGGTCACATGGTGAGAAAGTCCCAAAGGATTGAGGGACTTAGAGGTCGGGCTTGCGGGCCTTGATATAGTGGCAGTGTTGGTGAACACAGCCATAGACAGAAAGGGACTTGATGAGGACTGGAAAGAAGATATTGGGGAAAGCTATTCCCCATGTTTGTGGGCATCCTAAGGATGCTAGGGAGTGGATCTGGGATGACCACTCATGAACAGATGGCCCAGTCTTGGAGAGATAGGATTGCAATGTAGGTGGTGTTGAACCACCAATGTGACCAAGGTGAAAGGGCATGGCCTAGCATAACGGGCTGGTATGTTGGTGGTACCTTGGAGTGTCGATCATGGGATCAGACGCGTGGAGCACTTGGACCAAGTGCAAAGGTTGAAGGGCATGAATGCCCTTCTCGGGGTGAGCAAGCCCCAAGTCCGGAATTGGACTTATAGAGGTTATGAATGAGATTCCTCCAAGTGGTTGGATGTATGGTTAAGTGACTAAAGTATAATGGAAAAAATTAATAGCTTACACCATCCACTTCCTAAGTGACTCCATCACAAAACTTGAAGCCACTTGTTATGTTCCGTAACATGCAATA